TCAAGTCTTACTTTCCTGGTTAGAGTTGCTAGCCCAGGAATGGTACTGTCATCCTCTAGCTTTTTGCCATCAGTAGCAGTTACCTGAAGAGCCTTGGCTTCTCAGTTGAATGAAAAACTCCCTCAGGTGCTCAGTGTAAGGGGATTTCCCGAGGGTGGGGCAGATGCTGGTTGTTAATGAGCCTCAATTAGCACTTCAATGGCCCCACAGGGTGAGGTTGAATCTCTGAGGGACGGGCCACTGCCTCTCCCCAGAGCCCTGGGAAGGAGCAAGATGGCCACTGTCCTGTGTGGCTGCAGCTCAGCAAAAGCTCTGAGCGCCCTCCAAATCCTGAGTGTCCCGACACAGTTCCAGTCCAGTCTGCCCTCCCTCTGCTGGAGCCCAAGGTGAGTGGCTGTGGCTGTTTTAGCCTCTGTCCCGGCTCTGCACTGTGGAGCCTCCTGGGAGTGTAACCCGAGGGCGCTGCTCCCAGCTAAGGCCGATGCCCCGACCGTGGGCTCCCAGCCCCCCTCTTGCGCCTTCGCAAGCCTACCGGGATGGAGTCAGTGTCCCTGGCTATATGGTCCTCGCAAGCTGCTTTTCTGTTGGTTTTTCCCATCGATTTGTCTGTGTTTTAGTTGTAATTCCAGTTTGGTCCTGGGAAATGATCTGTGTAGCTTCCATTCACTGTGCCGCCATTTTCGAGAATAAAGGTTTTTTAAAAAAATATATGTTTTTATTGATTTTTTTTTTAGAGAGAGAAAGACGGGAGAAAGATAGAAACATCGATGTGAGAGGGAGCCAATTTATATTACCTATATTCTTAGAGATAACAAATATCCTGAATTTATAAACATCATGAAAAACCATACCACGTTTGTGAATGGTTCTCTTTCTCTGAATGTTTATCCTTGTATTGAGCAGAAGTCAGCCTTCCCCTAATTTGTACCCTTGGGTGGCAAATTTTACACTATTCCTCTTTAAAATGTGGTGGAGCTCAGAACTAAACACTATTTGGTTTCACAGAAAAATTTCTTCTCATATTTTATCCCATCAGCTTCCTGCCATTACATCCAAAGCTGTCTTTTAGTTTATACCTTAACTTTCTGTTTACATCAAGTGATATGTCACTATTAAGGCCAGTCTCCACAACACGTCATTCTTCTAGAATTTGGTTATTTTTTAAATTTTTTTCCTCACCTGAGGATATTTTTCTATTTATTATCAGATAGAATGGGAAGGAGGGATGGTGGGAGGGAGAGAGGGAGAGAGAGAGAGAGAGAGAGAGAGAGAGAGAGAGAGAGATCAATGTGATAGAGCTACATCGACTGGATGCCTCCCACACAACCCGACCAGGGCCGGGGACAAACTGCAACTGAGGTACATGCCCTTGACCAGAATCAAGCCTGTGACTCATTGGTCCATGGGCTGACACCCTAACCGCTGAGCCAAACCGGCCAGGGCTAGAATTTGGTTATTAATTGAGCACATACTATGTCATGCATCTGATTGCTATAACAAAGAATCTCTGTCTTTTTTTCCTTTCTAGAAATCTGTTTAAACACTTTAAAGAATGTTCACAATTCCTGACTTCAAATTGCTCTAAGATGCGCAAAATGTCTTCTCTGAGATCTGAAATGCTCGATATGAAAATCTCAAAGTCTCACAGCCTCTGCCGGTGGACTGACTCCTCATTGAGTATGAAGTTATTTACAGCCCTCTAGTGGGTCTCTAATGTAACATAAGAAGGGACATTGAGAGCAATGAGATATGGCTTCGTTTGCTCATTCCTTCATTTGTCTGTTCATTCATTCCATGTACAAATGCTAATTGAGTGCCTACTATGTTCCAGGCATGTTTTAGGCTTTGGAGATACTTCAGTGAATCAAACAAACAACAACAAAATTATATGCATTAGTTACTTAAGATGAAGAAGGTAGTAGAACAAAATTTGAGCAAAGACCAGGAGTTTGATTTTGGACATGCTAAGTTGGAGCTGCCCACTAGTCTCTCAGGCAGCCTCTTTTAAAAATGAGTTGGTTTCTCTGGGAACACCTATAGAGCACTCGTGAGCAGAAAGCACAGACAATGTGCAAATAATCTCTTTATTTGAGATCTCATCAAATTTAACTCATGACAACATGAGTACATTTAGCAAGACAATTGTGAAGACGGTGAATTAGACCCTGGGTGTGGGAGGGTGGTTATGGAGAAGTTCAAGCCTTGGCCCTACCTTCATGGAGCTAATCATTCCTCTGTTCTCTTTAAATGTAAACTTCTCAGTTTCTGTCTCGGTTCCTTGTTTGTTTTCTTAATTTTAGCCACAATTTGTAATGGTTGGATTTCTCTGTGACCTTGTATAAATCTAGCTCTTCCGCCTCCAGGACAATCTGTCAGTTCTATTCACTGGGTACCTTCAGCATCTGGCAGGCCCTCAATTTTTATTTGTTGAAGGATGAGTTTTCAAATTAATAGGTCGGATAAGAGAGACACACAAGAGAAGCTGGTAATATAGACTAGTATATGGCACATTCTAAATGAGTAAAGAACACAGTTAATTCCTCTCTTCGATCACAGCAGGTTGAAGGCAGTCAAGAAAAATTTTAGGAATGAGACTGGAAGTGAGCTAAATGTTAAAGAATAGGTAGAATGTGAGGAAAGGAGGGTGTAAGTGATGGGGAAGGGGTGTTTCCTGTAGAATCATTTCTGATTAACCCCTGTATGCTCCTCAGCCACCAATGTCTCTTTCTGCTCTGGTGTCTAGTAGTCTCTGCTGGGCTGTCCTGCCCCTCACTCCCTCCAATGATATGGGCTAATTCTGGCCAGTCATTAGGGTTTGTCATGCCATGCCTATGTCACTCTTTTCTTTATCATTGTCACTGTGGCCCCACTGTCTCTTTTTTAATAAACACCCTGCATATCAATGCCTATCATGACTCCTGGCATATAGTAAGTGTTCAATAAACATTTGTTAAATGAATATGTGATCCAATGAGCCACTTTCCATACTCCTGGGATGGCCCTTTCCCCAATATTTAGTCTCTACCATACTGCTGGGGACATTTAAAACATGAGTACTTTGGGACTTCCTCTAAATCCTTGCATAATTAATAAGCTGCTTTCTCATATTTTCATTTAGCAAATAGTTATTGCCTGTCTTCTTTATTACGGACTTAGGCTGGCTATAAGAAGCTTAGAATTGAGCTACTGTGAGACCCTTGTAAACAAATAATGATAAATAACAAGTTGAGGGTGGATTTATGTACAAAGCAGCCTGTGAACAATGTAGATTTAAAAAAAAAAAATTGCTTGTTTTAGTGTGCTAGCTAGAAGAGGCTTCCCAGAGTACAAGTTGGCATTGAATCCCGAAAGATAAGTTGTGTCCTCTAAACAGATATGATCCTGCGTGGAGAGTGGATAAAGGTGTCGGATGGACAGGATTCCAGGCAAATGAAATAACAGGTGCAAAGGTGATGGTAAGGATGGGGCCTCAGAAAGTGTGCCAGAGGAATTGGGGCAGAGTACAGGAGCAGAAGAGTGGTCAGAGAGAAGGTGTAGACTGGATTTGGGGCAGGCCAGCCAGAGAGCTCTGTGGATGTCAATTTTTAAGAGGTACTAAAATAAAAATATATAATGCCAATTAACACAGCCACTAGTGGCTCCTTATGTAACTTTTAAACCCTAAATTGGTCCTATTCCTTTGAGGGAAGACAGTGCCCTTGAATGTTACTTCAAAAATTCTCCTGGCTGGCAATTCCAATTATGTTATAGTCAGTGCATGTAATAAATATCTTATTTTTAACATAAAGAGGTTTGTAATTCTTATTAATAGAAAATCAAGTTCCTTTCAATCCCACGTTGAACAGATATTTAAAGAAAATTGACCTATTTATGCACTGCCAAATTATTAGCCTTTCAGCCTCCAGGTCCTCTCTCCCAGGTAAAAGTGGGACTGTCTCAACTGGCTGGGTGAGCTGAAAATGTTGGTTTCTGTATGCCTCCAAAAGAGGCTACATTCAATGAAGTATTATCAGTTAATTACGTGTTCAGCACTCCAGATAACCTACTTGGTAGGTTTTGGTGGTTTGATCCTGCAGGTGTCTTACAGGTGAACCTGACTGTCTCTGCGTTAGAGCCACCATATTCTCCTGGGTATTGAAAAACAGCAGAGACTTCTGTATTCTGTCCTGAAGGTTTGCACACATCCTCTGCATGTTGAAGAGGCCCCTAAATTTGGTGTTCAAAATATATTCTCTCTATGATAACAGCACCCTTAATGAAGTCACATGTATACTTTAAATCGTTACTATGAGTATCTACTGTTTTTGCATGGATTCTTCTATTTCTGGCTGTTAGACCTAAAACAAATAAGTTAACCTTTCTGTGCTTCCGTTCCTCATTATCCTAATCCCTGCTTTATAGGTCTGTGTTGAGGAATAAACCATACAAAACATGTCAAGTGCTTGGCACAGTTCCGCACCACAGTCAGCAACTCCTCCGTGCACCCTTCCGCGAGGGACTGCACTTTTCATCTCTGTACTCAGTTGTCACTATTTTCGGCGTGACCCCACCTAGGCTCAGAGTACAGAAACCTGAGAGAGAGGTCACAGTGCAAAGGTCAGAAGGCAGTTGGTTGAGGCAGTGTGCAAAGAGAGACCTCTGGACTTCCGTTACCTGGACGACTTCAGCCACAGCGAGTTGCACAGACCCGCCTGAGGCCGCCTTCCATCCTCCCCCCTCCCTCTGCTTTAGCCCCGCCTCTTTCTCCCTAGTGGTCCAAAGCGGTGGCCCACACGGACGCGACGCGGTTGCCTATGGATACGCCTTCCCACGATGCCTAGGGTGCTGTGTTCCTCTTAGCCAATCCGAGAGGTGACGCCTCCTCACTGTGGGCCAATAGGCTGTGAGGCCAGGGCCCGCGACGGTTGAACGAGGCTGGAGCCTGGGCGGCAGCAGTGTGCCTTGGAGGGCTCTGCGAGCGGGCGGCTGCGGTTCGCCGGCTGCGGCGCGATCTGCTCGAGTCCTGCGGCGGCCCCTGCCATGCCGACCCGGGTGGAGGACTACGAGGTGCTGCACACCATTGGCACCGGCTCCTACGGCCGCTGCCAGAAGATCCGGAGGAAGAGCGACGGCAAGGTGAGCGCGGGCCCCTTCCCGGTCCCCGTCCGGGTCCCGGTCCCCGTCCCTGTCCCCGTCCTGGTCCCGGTCCCCGTCCCCGTCCCCGTCCCCGCTGCGGTTTCGCCAGCCGGTGGCATCTGTGTCTGTACTGGGCCTCTCAGGGGATGGGAACTGCGTCTTTATATAGATACTTCTGTCTTTTTCTCTTTGTCTTCTAATTCCTTCCTGTTTTTCCTGCTTTGACCTGCTAGGGGCCTTCCATTGTTGACAGGTAGCTGACCCCGGAACTATTTTTATTATTTTTTTAAATTTAAAATTATTGATTGATTTGAGAGAGAAAGAGAGACAAACATTGATTTGTTGTTCCACTAATTTATGCATTCATTGGTTGCTTCTTGTGTGTGCCCTGACCGGTGATCACCTGCGACCTTGAACCCTGGTGTGTGGGGAGGTCACGCCAGCCCAGCGAGCTACAGGGCCTGGGCTCCTGAGCTATTTTTAGAGAGGAGTAGCTCTCTGGGACAGGAGAAAAGGGCCGCACCGCGAGAACCTGGAGCTTTATGTCTCGCAGTCAGCTCACTTAAGACACCCTTTATTCGGATTATTGGTTTCATATTTCCCTTGTTTGTGGGTAAACTTTATTCAGAGAGAAGCAGTGGAGAGGAAACTGCCCGGTTGCTGATGGAGGGATCTTTAGTCAGGTCTTCCACCCAGGAGAATCTCGGCTGGTTGGAATGGTCAGGGACATGGACTGTATCTGCCCCACCTTTGACCAGAGCACCAAGCAACTGAGGGCAGGGGGTTGGGAGAGGCCAATTGTGCCTGTTGTGCCTCATCTCCCTCTCTCCTATTGAATTTGCTTAAAAATTAGAGGATGTACTGTTGCTGGTTTGGCTCAGCGGTAGAGATTCGGCCCCCGGGCAATGAGTAGTGGGTTCCATTCTGGCCAAGAGCATGTACCTCGGTTTCGTTTGTCCCCTGCCCTGGTCGGGGTCGTGGGGGAGGCAACCAGTCGATGTATCCCTCTCACTTCGATGTTTCTCTATCTCTCCCCCTCTCTCCTTCCCACTCTTTCTGAAGATAAATAGAAAAATATCCTCAGGTGAGATAAAAAAAAAAAAAAAGATTAGTGGACGATTATGGGAATAAACTCAGGGGCCCTAAATTCATTGAACTAAATTAGATGATAATGACTGTATGATCTATGTAATAAAGGAGTAATTTTCAAATTTTGGAGCTCTCATTCTTTGTTTTTGAGTGTGAGTTCATTCATACCTTAGAAATTCTTATTACAGATACTAGTTTGGAAAGAACTTGACTATGGCTCCATGACAGAAGCTGAGAAGCAAATGCTTGTTTCTGAAGTGAATTTGCTTCGTGAACTGAAACATCCGAACATCGTCCGTTACTATGATCGAATTATTGACCGAACCAACACAACACTGTACATTGTAATGGAATATTGCGAAGGAGGAGACCTAGCTAGTATGATTACAAAGGGAACCAAGGAAAGGTAAGTTAATCTTCTAAACGTAAGCTGAAAATGGGCCTGGTTTCGCTTTTGTTAAACATCTTTTAGGATCAGGGATGAAGCACTTAGTAATGTGGAAGAATGTTCTTGTATTTGGTGGGTCCACAGACAGAACTTTAGGAAATCCCTTGTGAATCAACACCCATGTTTTATATCAAAATATATTTATTTACCTATTTGTACACTTTGAAAACTGGATAATTCATTGTCCCATCTTTGTAATGGATCTATTTAGAAGTTATATGCTGTATGACTGCTTTGATTTCAGACAATACTTAGATGAAGAGTTTGTTCTTCGAGTGATGACTCAGTTGACTCTGGCCCTAAAGGAATGTCACAGACGAAGTGATGGTGGTCATACTGTGCTCCATCGGGATCTGAAACCAGCCAATGTCTTCCTGGATGGCAAGCAAAACGTGAAGCTTGGAGACTTTGGGCTGGCTAGAATATTAAACCATGATACAAGTTTTGCAAAAACATTTGTTGGCACCCCTTACTACATGTCTCCTGTAAGTATTTCAGAATTTAGATACTTTTTAAACCTCTTAATGCTAAGCATTCACTTGCAGGCAAAGTGAGTTTTTTGTGTGTTTAGTAATAGCCAATAGCCAAGAATTAATAACACTGTGTCATTTTAAATTTATATTTTTTCCAAATGGACCACCAGACCATTGAACTCTACATCAGCAATTCAAGTCAGGCTTTTATTAAATGACTACCATGTGCTAAATTCTGGGATTACAAAGACAAAATAGGTTTTGTCTCTGGTCTCAAGAGCTATGTTTCCAAAATGCCATAGGTCCTGTACACCAGCTTGGACTCATTTGCAGTATTTGTTCAAAATGTAGATAGTATAGTCCTGGGCCCCCAGCCGCAATCCAGTGAATTCGGATCCCTGGACAGGCCCTTGTGCTCTGTTTTTCTTTTTTTAAAAAATATTTTTTTAATTGACTTTTAGAGAGAAAAGAGAGAGAGAGATAGAAACCTCGATTTGAGAGAGAAACATTGATCTGCTGCCTCCTACACACCTCCCACTGGGGATAAGCCTGAAACCTGGGCAGGTGCCCTGACCGGGAGTCAAACTGGGACCTCTTAGTGCACAGAACAAGGCTCAGTCTACTGATCCGCACCGGCTGGGCTTCTGCTTTTCCATTTGGACTCTGCATTCTAGCAAATGTTTTAGATGATTCTTGTACATGGAGATTCAGGGCTCAGGAGGCTTGCTCATTTCAGGTAACATGTTTTTACAGTGCTAACTTTTGGTATTTGTTGTCGTTTTTTTTGTTGTTGCTTTTTCCTACAAGGGAGCTGCTGAGTAAACATACTTATATATTTCCTTTATTGCTGGATAATATTTTGTTTCCAAAATTTCTCATCATTCTAAGGAGCACTGCTATGCATATGAATTAGTCTTTCTTCCTTTTTGGTTATTTCCTCATCAGATAACTCTCAAAATGAAATTGCTGGGTTGGGTCAAAGACTCTGAACAGTTTATGGCTCCTAGATTTTGCCTGATGGCTTTTGAAGAGCTTGAAGCAATAAGTGACACCACCAGTTGGTTGTAAATCTGAGCAGATAGAGGTGCAGAGAGGCTAACGTTTTTCAGCAGTTCACAAACATTTCCAGGCTTTTCTAAATCTTTGTTAGTTACATTAACCAACCTGACTGCAGTATAAAACTTTGTATTAATGATTTTGTTTTTCATGAAGATTAGACATGGCCAGAACAGTGTCATTTTCTCACTGTATCAAGTTTCAAATAGAAAGCCTTTAACATAAAGGAAAATTATCCAGAAGTGGTTCTTGGAAAAACGGAAACCTGTGCAGTTCTTTGTTCCTTTTCCCTCCTGCCCTTATATTTAGATCTGTTCAGCCTTCCCTAAGGCGTTGCCAGGAAGTGGTATCAGACTCACCTGTTGGACTTGAAAACACTGAGAAGCCTCCTGACGAGTTTGGTACTTGCCTCTGTGCCCTCTGTTGAGAATAAGAGCGATGGCAGACTGTTCCTGCGAGTAAGGAAGAAAGACAACTAGAATAGGAAATGAGAATATCAGTTAGTGTGGTTTATTGAGTAGACTAAGGAAAAATATAAATGAATAATTCAATTAGCCATTTATGTCTACACCCATTTAAATGTGGGCTAGATGTATATATTGGTTATTCTGGAATTTTTTCTTGTTCTTTTATTTTTACTTTTTAAAATTAATTTATTTTTGTTACAGATTTGTCGTCTTTTCCCCCCATTGACACCCTCCTCCCAGTCGCCACCCCCAACCTGTTCCCAGTGTTGTTGTTTATGTCCGTTGGTTACACATACATGTATCTCTTGTTCTTTTAAAATGGAGTTTCTAGATTATGAATGTCATGAGGGTAGAGGTCTCTCATATTCACCTTTGAATTGTTAGTGCCTCGCCTCTAGTAATAATAAATGTTTGTGAAGGAAAAATAAATAAATGAATTATTTATGACAGAGTATATTAGGATAAGATCATTGCCTTTTTCCATTATACATTTGAAGGTAAAGTGTAAAGTATACATTTTAAAACAAAATAAACTTTTAATTCCTTGTACTTTCTTACCTTTTTTCCCCTTAAGGAACAGGTGAGTCGCATGTCCTACAATGAGAAATCAGACATCTGGTCGCTGGGTTGTTTGCTGTATGAACTGTGTGCATTAATGTAAGTATGATGAAGGCAGATTTCCAGGCTGAGGTTTATACTCAGGGGGTTGTCACCATTCACTGGATTCAGCTGTTTGACCTTCATGCATATTCAAATCTGAAAGAATCATACCTTGGGTTAAAATTAAGGTAGGTGAACAGGTTAAAAAAAATATTTTTAAAAAGCCCTGGCCGGTTTGGCTCAGCGGTTAGAGCGTCTGCCTGCGGTCCAGAGAGACCCGGTTCAGTTCCCGCTAAGGGCACATACCTCAGTTGCAGATTGTCCCCGGCCCTGGTTGGGTCGTGCCAGTGGCAGCCACTGGATGTGTCCCTTTCATGTTGATGTTTCTCTCTCTCTCCCCCTCCCACTCTATCTGAACAAGAAGTGGAAAACTGTCCTCAGGTGAGGATAAAAAAAAAAATTTTTTTTAAATTAATAATAGACCCCCGAGGCTGGATCTTGACTTGTTCAAGCTCCTAACCTGGTTAAATGCTTCCTTGTTAGACTGATGCTCAGCTCAAGGGGAGAACAAATAGGTCAGGCCTATGCGAGAGATGAAACAAAGATCTGGGGGCAGGTGTGGAGATTTGGAGACTAATAAAGAGCTCTAATTCTTTTTTTTCTTTTATGTTTTTCCTCTTCCGTGCTATTCTGTAGAGCAGTGATTCTCAACCAGGGTGGGTGAAGCAGTTTTGACCCCCATGGGACATTTGACAGTGTCTAAAGACAATTTTGGTTGTGACAACTAGGGATAGCTACTGGCATCTAGTGGATGGAGGCCAGCGATGCTGCAAGTCATACTATTATGCACAGGACAGCCCCTACAGCAAAGAATTATATGACGCCAAGGTTGGGCAACTTAGCTATAGAAGAAAATCCCAGAAGTAGAAACATTACAAACTGGAGCTTAAACTGTTTTGATTTGCTTCCTAATACCTTTTTTATTTTTACATTATTATTCTTCTTCTTCCAGGCCTCCATTTACAGCTTTCAACCAGAAGGAATTAGCTGGGAAGATCCGAGAAGGCAAATTCAGGCGAATTCCATATCGTTACTCTGATGAATTAAATGACATCATTACAAGGATGTTAAATTTAAAGGTAAAGATTATAAAATTATTTTGTCTGTGTCTGTCTCTCAGTTAAATTTTGGGGTATGTGTTCTGTGTCGTAGAGCAATGAGACTGAAGAAACATTAAACATATTTCCTTAGCTAAATCTGCTCTGTTAACACAAGTGAAAACATACATAAGTCGTCTGTCCTTGCTGGCCTACCCTGTGTGCTTTCTCTATGTCTTCTCCCACTCGCTGCCATGCTAACAGATGGCTGGTAGCAAGAAAAGATTGCAGAAAGCATCCAAATCCTTAGTTCCCTGTGTCCTTGCCTACCTCAACGTGGCAGATGGTAAGAAGGGGCCACAAATAAATAGCCTCTAGCTCCAGTTGAGAGTTAGAGACCACAAATAAGTGTGTGTGTGTAGGGGGGTAAGGGGTGTAGATGGGGCTAAAAAGAGCAGAGAGAAAATAACTAAGAGATTATGTGGGAAAAATCTGATCAGGCTGATGTAAAATTTAAATGCTATGGGATTACAAAGAAGAATTCAGACGAGTTAATGGGATTTAAGGGCTGTGAGCGAGTATCCTGCTTACTCAGTGTAGAGATGCCCTAACAGTGACTCTAGCAGTGCCACTGAGCACCAGCACAGGGGTGGAGCCTTCTAGTTGAAGGGGGAACAAAGGTAAGGAAACATGTGCATTGCTGTTTGGACCCAGAATCTCATGAGTTAAGCCACCAGTGAACTTATTTTTCCAGGTGGTCAAGGCCCATCCATAAACAAGTCTATTTTTTGGCAGATATGCCCGTTTAATGTCACCGCTCTTTTAGGATGAATATTCTGTTATGACCTCTGACTGTGGCACTGAACATTTTTTCCCCAGGATTACCATCGACCTTCTGTCGAAGAAATCCTGGAGAACCATTTGATAGCAGACTTTGTTGCAGAGGAGCAAAGAAGAAATCCTGAGAGAAGGGGGCGACAACTAGGAGAACCAGAGAAGTTGCAGGAGTCCAGCCCTGTGTTAAGCGAGCTGAAACTAAAGGAAATGCAGCTGCAGGAGCGGGAGCGAGCCCTCCGAGCCAGAGAGGAGCGACTGGAGCGTAAGTCTGAGTGACGGGGAAGCACAGGAGAGCCACGGGAGGGTGCTGGTGATGAGTGTGAAAGTCTGTTTAAATGAGTCTATGAGAACATTCTTGCCCTGGCCAGATACCTCAGTTGGTTAGAGCGTTGTCCCGATGCACCAAGGTTGCGGGTTTGATCCCTGGTCAGGGCATAACCAATGAATGCATAAGTAAGTGGAACAAAAAAATCAATGTCTGTGTCTCTCTCTCTCCCCCTCATTCCTCCTCTTTCTCTAAAACCAATAATTTTTTTTTTATCCTCACCTGAGGATACTTTTCCATTTTTGTTCAGATAGAGTGAGAGGGAGAGAGAGAAACATCGACGTGAAAGGGGCACATCCAGTGGCTACCTCCCTCACTACCCCAACCAGGGCCGGGGACAAATCGCAACTGCGGTGCGTGCCCTTGACTGGAATCAAACCCACGACTCTTTGGTCTGCGGGCCGACGTTCTAACCACTGAGCAACCGGCCAGGGCCAATAAAAATATTTTATTTATTTATTTATTTTAGATAAGATTTTTTATTTATTTATTTTTTTGTGGTATGTGCCCAACCGAACCCGGGACTCTCTGGTCCGCAGGCCGATGTTCAACCACTGATCCATACTGGCCAGGGCCAATAAAAATATTTTAATAAAAGAACATTCTTGCCCAGCTGGTGTGGCTCAGTGACTGAGCATCAACCCATGCATCAAGAGGTTGCCGGTTCGATTCCTGGTCAGGGCACATGCTCAGGTTGGGGGCCCAGTCCCTAGTGGGGGCAGGCAAGAGGTGGCCAATCGATGTTCTCTCATCGATGTTTCTGTCTCTCTCCCTCTCTCTTCCTCTCTCTCTAAAAATCAATAAAGAAAAAAATTTTTTAAAAAAGAACATTCTTATAAATACATGAGCAACCAAAATATGCTTTGTAAAATATGTAAATCCAGCTTCCTGGCACCTTCCTGTTGAGCTGCCTCTTTCTGTGAGTTCAGCTGCTGTTTGTATTGCTGGGCTCTAACTTTATACTTTACTGTAGACTTGTTAGACTTCAATGTATACGTCACACTTTACTGTTACTTTTTTCTCTCTGTTTCTTAATATATATACCGTATAGGTTTTCCACTTAAAAGCAGATTGTAGAATTTGCTACTATAATAACCATTACTTCTACCTTCTGATATGGCCGATCCAACACAATCCAGGTCTAAAATCCTACAATGTGTAGGACTAAATATGCTCAGGCAATTCAATAGTGTGGATACAAGCTAAGCTAGGTTTATAAATACTCTGGTGGCTATTAACTGATTAAGTGCCAGTTAGTTTTCGATGGTGAAAGTCTGTCTACTCCACTGAAGTGACAGGTGCTACCAGGTTTTAGAATTATGCTAGGTAGCATAGCACTGAGGGACTGTCTCCTACCACCCTCCTGGCTCACCTGATTTTGATTTTGCAGCTTTAAGCCCAATGCAGACTACATGTGTTTTGCGTTTAAATGTACTTAAAAGTGCCCAATACATCCGTGAATACTTTACCTCCTAGTGATGACTGTGTGGTGCTGCAAGGTATGCTTTCTGTAGAGGTACCACTGATGCTTACCCGGAAACCTTTTTTGACTTGTCTGTTAAAAATAAAAGAGAGAGACACAAACTTTGTATTGAGATTTTTCGTAACGTTTGTAATTTCATATAGCAATTGAAAGCTGAACTTTCTGAATTCTGAGTCACGAATAAATAATAGCCTTTGTTACTGATCTAAAGAAGTACCTCCTAATTGAGTTGTGGTTTTCTCCTCTCTGAGGGCTTTCATTCACCCAGAAGAAGGAGGGATTGTACTGTGAGGCCAGGCAATGCCCAGGAAATGAACTGCTGCCCCTTTTCAGTGAAGAGCAGAGGTGGCAATAATTTTTTGTTTTCCCAAATGAGTTACTTGCACACAGCCTGACCAAATGTGGAAGCTGACTTTGTGCTGGTGCTTACACCAGTCCTTACCAAAAAGCTAAGATTACATACAACATACTGAAATGCTGGATTGCAGACCAGCACAGCCAGGGTGACCTGGGAACAGGGTGAGGAACCTTTCTCAGAGCATCGCTAATCGCTGCTCATGCAGGCCAGCCTCAGTGACTGGGAACATGGTAAGATTACCAAATGTAAATTGTTTTTTACTCAGTGCCACTTAATTTTTTTCCCTTGTTTCATTCCTTTTCTAAAGAGAAGGAACGTGAGCTCTGTGTTCGTGAGAGGCTGGCGGAGGACAAAGTAGCGAGAGCAGAGAGTCTGCTGAAGAACTACAGCCTGCTGAAGGAGCAGCGGCTCCTGTCTCTGGCCAGCGGACCAGGTATGCGAGTCAGCTCAGTAGGCAGAAGCCGCCCCTGGGAGGAAATGGCAGGGTTGCTTTCCAAGGGCTTTGCTAGGCCTTTTAACTTACGAAGTCTCCAGTTTTAAGACGGAGTTCACTGCATAGATGCATTTCAATGGACATAAGAATACTGTTATAGCAATGATTTGCTTAACTGGGATCAAGCAATGAGTCATAATGATTTCAGCTTCAAATGTATTTACCTTATCAAACTACGTGTTTAGTATTTGATGTTTATTTTTTAAAATTAGGGCATTTAAAAAAAAAATGCTGGGTATGCTACCAAAACTCGACATATCTCTCCATTTTCAAGCAATAATTAATAGCATTTGATTATTGCCACATGCCCGAATAATACATGGCACACCCTTCCTAGGAAGTAGGGCTTTTGACACTTGATAAGCCAACTGTAGAATAGCCTCTCACTTTGATCTTTGCTAAGACCTGTTCAAATTGAAATATGTGTTTGTGAAAATTCTGTTCAGTATCTACATATGCTTTGTTTGTATATAGACAGGGTCTCATACAGAGACAGTCAACCTTCCCAGGGCCCTGCCTTGTGTGGGTGTTGTCCCAAGCACTCTGCTCTAGTGACACATGGTTAGTATATATACAGGCAGACCAGCTCTAACAGCTTTTCTGCATTTCACAGAAACCCTAAAACTAATCTACTCGTTAAGATTATGGAAAATGCAAAGCATTCAGTCTTTCCTCTTGATTTCTTTATGACACTATTATTATTATTAAATATGTTTTTGTTGATTTCAGAGAGAGAGGAAGGGAGAGGGAGAGCGAGAAACATTAATTGGCTGCTCCCCACTTATGCCCCACTGGGGATTGAGCCTAAAACCTGGGCATGTGCCCTGACCAGGAATGGAACCAGCAACCTCCTGGTGCATGGGACCACACTCAGCCAACTGAGCCACACTGGCCAGGGTGACACAGATTATTTTAAACAGTTTTTTGTTGTTTTTCAAAATTGAGTATCTGAATTTTCCATTGAAAATTATGACTCCCTCATGTCACATGTGTGAAGGTTCCCATTTCCATCTTGAATAAGTTGAGAGAGAATCTGGTCCCTTCAGTGAGGATGGCAGCATTTTGTAAATAGAACAGATACAGACTTCTTAAGTTAGTGTGAGGATTACAATAACTTTATAGTGATAAGTGATGGGAATCAATGAAATTAGCAATGGAAGTAAATGAAACAGATTATATAAAACTTGGGCTTCATCTCTATTAAAATATTTTCTTTCTTTTTTCTCAGTATTGCCATCTACCATTTCAGTATTTTTGTAATATTTGTTTCAGCTTTTCTTAGATTCCACACTGCCAGCCATAAAGATAAAATAGACCTGAATCATGTAGATGAGTTTCATGCATGAAACCCATCGCTGAGAATTATTGAAGGTCCTGCAGGGGATGGCTCTCCCAGTTAAAGCCTTTATTTACCTCTTGCTTTGAGAGACTTTGGGCAAGGATGAAAAGAACTAGAGAAGGATGAGTGTTTCACTTTATAGGATACATAGTTAGGTTATAGGACCTATCTGTATGCGAATCATGACAAATTCTTGAAATGAGCTATAGCAATGGAGTATCCACTGGGGCCAGGAAATTAAAATTTTAAAGTACTGAGTATTTAGAGCCCTAAAATAAGCAACAAAGTAGTGGGAGTGGATGCCATTGTGAAATCAGAACAGTTGGAAATAGCCTCTCCCAGTCCTTGGGCTACAAAATTCAGACAAGAGGAAAGAGTCATAACTGTAGCGAGATCATCACAGTAATCAACAGCATCCTCTTTTTGAAAGCTTTTGTTAATCTATTTAATGAAATACAATTTTTTTTTTCTCAATACTAATTCTTTTTCTAAACATTTTTCTTTCTTGTAAAGTTATGCCATTAGTGAGCTTTATCATTTACATAGGAATTTATATAGGAATGTGTGGTAATAAGGGTGGGTGTGTTTGAAACAATGGAGTTGAGGCTGAAAGCAATCAGCGAGCTTTGAAGCAGAAACAATGTTGGAGATAGGAAGTCTGGGACAATTGGAGGCCAGTGTTTGTTGCAGGCTGTGCCTGTCTGGTTTGGCCTTTCTGCTTCTTTGGCCTGGAGTCTGTTCCTCTAGATAGCCGGAGGCTTCTTAGTTCCTCACGGGTGTCTCTGCTCAGAAGTCCCCTTGTTATAAGGCTTCCCTCCCTGTGACCACCCCCAGCGCTTCTGTTTCCCTTTCTCGGTATTGTTTTCCTCCACAGCGCATGCCCTCAAATATGTCTCATGTGTACTTGTCTACTGGGTTAGGGTCTATCTCCTCCTCCTAGAATAGGGCCTTTGTTTGGTCCACAATGGCCCACACAATGAGCTCGTAAATATTTGAACGTGTTTCCTTTCCGTGAATGTAAAGGAAAAGTAAAAAGGTTCGGGAATTCAAACCTGCAGGTCCCCAGCCTCCAAATAGTCTGTTGGTAGCTAATAGTGTTACCACTTCAAGTAATTATTTTTCCCCTGTAAAAAGCACAATTCACCTTTTTTGCTATACTGTTACTCGATTTACCGTTTCCATGCTGGGTTTGCTTAGTTTCTTTCTGAAGCAGGTTTCCAGTAAATCATCTTTCAAGTAAGTGTTCCTGAATATTTAATCACAACTGTAGTGCTTTACACGAAAGAGCTTCTTGCATCCATACTTTTCTGCAAGCAATGTGTTCTGGGTAGAATGGCACGTGTTTTCTTTTTTTAAATTTTTTTATCCTCACCTGAGGATATTTTTCCATTTTTTGTACAGATAGAGTGGGAGGGAGAGAGAGGAAGGGAGAGAGAGAGAGAAACATCGACGTGAAGGGACACATCAAGTGGCTGCCACCCGCACGACCAGCCAGGGCTGGGGACAAACTGCAACCGAAGTACGTGCCCTTAGCGGGAACCGAACCCGGGTCTCTCCGGACCGCAGGCCAACGCTCTAACCGCTGAGCCAAACTGGCCAGGGCGAATGGCACGTGTTTTCAATAGTAGAGACAATGACACTGATTTCCAGAAGTTTCTTATTGTGGCCCATAATCTCCAGTGTATTTAACCTCAAGGGAAAAGTGGATTGTTAAGGGAATAAAACATATGTTCCTTGATATTTGGCACATTCCAGGATTCTCTTTTCAGTGCTGTGGCTTAAAGGGCTGATTTCTTACCTCCTGTAGGCGCCTAACCTTCCAGATTTCGAATGTGAATTGAAGGAGTGAATGTTTAGCTAAGTGTGAGAAACATGGAGGGGTTGAACTCCTGTTCACATAACTCAAAACCTTTTTTCTTTTTCTTCCTAAAGAACTTGTTGATCTTCCATCCTCGATAATTAAGAAGAAAGTTCATTTCAGTGGAGAGACTAAGGAGAATGTCATGAGGAGTGAGAATTCTGAGAGTCAGCTCACCTCCAAAGCCAAGTGCAAAGACCTGAAGAAAAGGCTTCATGCTGCCCAGCTGCGTGCCCAAGCCCTGTCAGACATGGAGAAAAACTACCATCTGAAAAGCAGACAGATTCTGGGCATGCGCTAGCTGAGCGAGCGACACAGAGCTGTGCATGGTGTTTAATATTGCCAGTCCCTTCAGATTGATATTCAACTGCTGTAGCTTGACATACTTGGTTCTGTGAGCCATGCCTTTTTGTACAGTAAGCACGATGTTTTGGAATCGCCTTTGCTGTTCTTCAGCGATGATTGTACAAAATGTCCACACCTTTAATTTTTTTTTCTTTTTTAAAAAAACACTTTAGAGAAAGAATGACACTTTCTTGGTTGGGCTTTTTAATCCTGTGTGTTGGTTACTACTGGAACATGAAATATTACATTCTAAATGTTGGAGAAAAATAATGTCAGAAAAAAATACATTTACCCAGGAATAGCGCTTACGGAGGAGTTTTAAATGACTGAGTGGTGTGCTTGCAATGGTCACGTCTAGATTTAAAATTTTAAGTCTGAGGTTTTAAATATTCTAGAGCTTAGAAAACCTAATTGGATACAAAATGGTCACTGGTACCCTGACACATTGTTTGTAGATGTCGCTTACAAATGTCGCGCCGCTCTGCAGTGCTCATCTGCCACCTTCTGTGGAAATCATCACTGATGCCTGTTCTCTCTCCCTTTTTATTCTATCTAACTGTGTGTACGCTGGCTGTCATTCACTCATCTCGGTCTCGCTAAATAAAAGAATTCTTTGGTGTTCCTGTATTTGTGGTGTCCGTGACTCGTTGGCACCGAGGGCGGGAGGAGAGCCGCCTCTGATGCTCGCAGGAGCCGTCCTGGCACCCTCCTACCACCCGTACGTCCGGCTGCGCCAGTGGTTCTTCGCTGGGGACTGTTTTGTCCCCGGGAACATTTGCAATGTCTGGAGACATTTTCAATTGTAATGATTGTGGGGAGGGCACTATTGAATATAGTTGGTAGAGGCCAGGATGCTGCTAAACATACTACAATGCACAGGACAGTCCCCCAGAGCAAAACGTCATCGTGCCACACCTGAGAAACCTGGTCTAAGCTAACATTTGTTGGAATAGACCCTACCCTTGGAGGAAATTACTTTGTGTGTATATATACATATTTTGCATTTATCTTCAGACAGAGCAGGAGGGAGGGGGAAGAGAGAGAGAAACATTGATGTGAGAGAGACACATCGACTGGTTGCCACCCACATGACCCCAACTGGGTGGGGACAAATAGCAACCGAGGTACGTGCCCTTAGCGGGAACCGAACCCGGGCCTCTCTGGTCTGCAGGCCGACCCTCTTAACTGCTGAGCCAAACTGGCCAGGGTTGTTGTTTTTTTTTAAAGATTTTAAAAATTGGCCCTGGCTGGTTTTGCTCAGTGGTTAGAGCCTCGACCTGTGGACCAGAGAGTCCCGGGTTTGGTTCCCGCTAAGGGCACGTACCTCGATTGCGGTTTGTCCCCGGCCCTGGCTGGGGTCGTGTGGGTGGCAACCAGTCGATGTGTCTCTCTACCCCAGCTTTTTTTCCCTTTCCGTTTGGAAGATTTTTTTCCATCCCTTCACTTTAAACCTACATGAGTCTTTTGTTGTGAGGTGGGTCTCTTGTAAACAACATATATGTGAGTCATGCTTTCTTATCCAATCAGCTACTCTGTGTCTTTTTATGGGAGCATTCAATCCATTTACATTTAAGGTGATTATTGATATGTACTTATTCATTGCCATTTTTGTTTAGTGTGGTTCTACTTTTCTTCCTATTTCTCCTGCTAATTACAGCAGCCCTTTTAACATTTCTTGCAGTGTTGGTTTGGTGCTAATGTATTCCCTTAGCCTTTTTTTTGTCTGAGAAGCTCGTTATTTGACCTTCTATTTTGAATGACAGCCTTGCTGGGTAGAGCAGTCTTGGATTCAGATTCTTGTTTTTCATGACCTTTATTACCTCTTGCCATTCCCTTCTGGCCTGTAGTGTTTCTGTTGAGAAGTCAGCTGAGAGCCTTATGGGGTTTCCTTTGTAGGTAACCTGTTGCTTCTCTTTTGCTGCTTTTAGGATTCTCTCTTTGTCTTGAATTTTTGGCACTTTGATTACTATGTGTCTTGGTGTGGGCCTGTTTGGATTCTTCTTACTTGGGGCTGTCTGTGCTTCTTGAACTTGAATATCTTCTTCCTTCACCAAATTAGGGAAGTTTTCTGTCACTATTTCTTCAAATATATTCTCTAACCCTTGCTCATTTTCTTCTTCTTCGGGGACTCCTATGATGTGAATGTTACTACGTTTCCCTTTGTCCCACAGTTCTCTTAAGCTGTTTTCCTGTTTTTTAATTATTTTTTCCTTTTGGTTTTCTGATTGATTTTTTATACCCTGTCTTCTAATTCACTGATCCGGTCCTCAGGTTCCTCTACTCTGCTATTTAGACTTTCCAATGTGTTTTTTATTTCTGCTATGTCATTCTTCATTTCTTCTTGGTGGTTTTTAATTTCCAACTGGTTGATTTTCAACATTTCTATGTCTTTACTCATGGTGCTCATGTCCTTACACATGCTGTTGAGCTTCCTCAAGATCATGGCTCTGAATTCTAGTTCTGTTAACTTGCTTAACTGCACCTCATTTATTTCATCTTTGGTAGAGGTCTCTTGTTCTTTCATTTGGCTTTTGTTTCTGTTTTTGACCATTTTGGCTATCACAGTGGGCTTTGGAGTCTGCCAAATTTTCCCTGTGGATGTTGGTGTTCTGCTGTTTGTGGCTCCCTCTCCTGGGTTTGGATGAGGCAGGGAGGACCCACTTTAAACACCACTGTCAAGTCTTAACTTTCCTGGTTAGAGTTGCTTGCCCAGGGAATGGTAGTTATCCTCTAGCTTTTATGCCTGGAGGTTATTAGTAGAGGTCACCTGAAGAACCTTGGTTTCTGAGTTGCCTGAAAAACTCCCTCAGGTGCTCAGTGTAAGAGGATTTCCCGAGGGTGGGGCAGATGCTGGTTGTTAATGGGTCTCAATTAGCATTTCAATGGCTACCAGGTGGGGTTGAATCTTCGAGGGAGGGGCCGCCCCCTCTCCCAGGGCCCTGGGAAGGAGTAAGATGACCACAGTCCTGCGCGGCTGCGCTCAGCAAAAGCTCTGAGCACCCTCCAAATCCCGAGTGTCCCCACACAGTTCCAGTCCAGTCTGCCTTCCCTCTGCCGGAGCCCAACGTGAGTGGCTGCTGCCAATTTAGCCTCTGTCCGGACTCTGTGTCGTGGAGCTGCCTGGGACTTTAACCCGAGGGCGCTGCTCCCAGCCAAGGGTGGCCGAGGCTGCAGCAGCTCCCAGCTGAGGTCACAGGCCCCAGCCGAGGTTGCAGGCCCCAGCCGAGTCCCCTGGTCCTAGCCGAGTCCGCTGGACCCAGCCCAGGCCACTACGGACTGTGGGCTCCTGGCCCCCTCTCGCGTCCTCACAAGCCTACCAGGATTGAGTCAGTGTCCCTGGTTATGTGGTCCTCCAGGCTGCCTTTCGGTTGCCCCTTCCTGACGATTTGTCTTTATTTTCGTTGTAATTCCAGTTTGGTCCTGGGAGATGGTCTGTGTAGCTCCATTCACTCCGCCGCCACTTTTTCTCTCTTCGATGTGTCTCTCTCACATCAATGTTTCTCTCTCTCTCTCCCTCCCACTCTATCTGAAGATAAATGCAAGAATGTCCTCGGGTGAGGATAAAAAAAAAAAAAGATTTAAAAAAATTGATTTTTAGAGAAGAATGGAGAGAGAGAGAAACATTGATTCGAGAGTGAAACATCATTTAGCTGCCTCCTGCAGGCCCCCTACCAGATATTGATCCTGCAACCTGGGCACATGTGCCCTGACCGGCAGTGGAACTGGCAACCTTCCGGTGCACAGGACAAAGCCCAACCAACTGAACCATACCAGCCAGGGCCTTGGGTTTTGATGGACTATTTTTGAAGTCTGACTTTTAATATGAATTAGCAGTCTTTAATGTGCTTACCACAGTTTTCATGGGATGCTTTCCTAGCAGTGCTAATCCTTTAGCTTGATAAATAAGACCAAGTTATGAAGGGTTAATAATAAAGGGGAAGAAACAGCTCTTTTATTAGTTATTTTATTACAGATTTACTACCCATTTTGTAGTGTAGTTCCATAAAGACAGCTGATGTTGTACAAAACCGATCAGAAACTGATCACCATGCCTTTATGATGTTACCCACAGATTAATCCTAATGGCCCCTTTGATACAAATGTTGAGTGTCATTTGCAGGGCCCAGTGCAAAATAAAACGTGGGGCTTCCTGTTCAAACGCAGAGGACAAGTAGCACTAAAGGTGCATAGAAAGCCTGGTCCTGTCTTCCAAGGTCCCTGTTTCTTGAGATGGTGTTTGCTCTCTAATGTTCTCAGTAAAGAAAAAGTAAAATTTTGAATCATTAGCATGAATTTTACTATTCCTCTTTCATGTGCAGTGCCAGTTTTAAATGGTAAAAGCACATTTAGCTTATGTGTGGAGTCACCGAAATGATATAATTCGTATTTTGGGGCTCATCAGGGAGGTTGCCTCAAGCTGGCTGGAAAAAGAGACAGATCCCCGTGACAGGCATCTGGGGACCCCTGACTGTGGTGCTTACTTGGTTCTCCCTCCCTCCACTGCCAAGCTGGAGAAGGGGAGCCAGACATCTCCCTTTCCCTCAGGCCCACTGCCCCCACCCACAGCAGATAAGTCACCCACGAGAATCTTTACGCCTTCAAGCTGGTACTTTATTCCTGTATCAGGGCACCTGGATCGACCCTGCCAGGATAGGGCCTCCCGCTAGCCACCTACCAGCCATACCAGGGGGCTGTCTGCCTAGGTGTGGGGAAAGGCATTGGGGAGCAGCTGCTGCCTGCCTTGCCCTGAGAAGCTTTGGGGCATGAGTGCTCAACCTGTCTGTTGCCCATGCCCAGGCCCCTGCTGGGAGCAGAGTGTGGCAGTGGTCATGGGGTACAGACGGAAGAGGAGGCTGGTGCACCGAGGAGGAGGCTGAGAGCTGGTGGCAGGAGGCAGGGCCATGCATGAGGTGGGGGTCTTAAGCCCTCACTTACAAACCACAAATTCAAAGATACAGTTATTGAGAATTTCCAGGCTGCAACCATAGAACATCGATCCCAAGTGCCCGGCCCCACTGAACGCCAGGTCCTTCTACACGTGGGGCCTGCCTGTGTGTCTGCGCTGGTCGCACACTCCTGAATCCAGCCCTTTCTTCAGGAAACTGCTTTTCTACCTTGGGAGATAAGCTTTCATTTTTAAATCTGTGGCATGCTGAGAGAGCTTCTCTAGTTTTTCCATCTTAGACTCCACCTTCATTTTTCAATCTTCCCTTCATTCAGTCAACAAACAATTGAGCAGCTACTGTGAGCCAGCCAGCACGGTGTACTGTGCTGAAGATAAAGCAATAAAGAAACATTGAAATCCCTGCCCTCACGGAGATTTCATTCAAATAAGGCAGAAAGTTAGCCACACAGAGATTGATAATGTTAGGAGCAGAATGAAGCAGGAAAGGGGACAGACAATTGCGGGGGTGGGAGGTGGGGTGGGGGTGGGGGGCATTTTGGAAGAGGTGGTGATTAGGGGTGCAACAGGAAACTAAGAAGGCAGAGGCTTGGAAACAAGTTTTAATCTGATTATTCTCCCCCTCTTCTTGCTCTAAAGCCAACAAAACCTTGTGCCCTGTTCACCCCTAAAGCTGGGAACATCTGGGGTACGTGGGCAATGATGGTAGATTAG